ATTTATTCTCACCCTCTAGTGATATTAACGCCGAAAATAGTGCTTGTTTTTATTATCGTAAAAATTGTTTCACACAATTTAAACGTTTTTTAGCTATGTACAGTGAGGACGTTTGAGTTGGAATACATTCATTTTCTTGGAAATGGGGGACCCTAGAAATAAATCCCGAAAAAGATCGATTTTTTATTTTTAAATTATAATTTTTTGGCATATATATCATACTAGTGAGTCATCCATCAGGGCGTGATGACTTAATCGATGATTTTTTAAAATAAGAATAGGGGTCGTGTGCTAGCTCATTCGAAAGGTTATTAAATTCTCTATTCACTAGTATAAACATTAAGATAATTATCTATAAAGTGTACCCAAAAGAAACTTTTTTTTAATTAAATTATTTGAGGCAAAAAGAAGAATGTATGTAATTTGTTTAATGCAAAATACATTTTACTGCTGTCAGAAAACAGAAAAAAAAATGGTAATTTGAAAAATAAACATTGCGTTACGCTTAAATTAAATATTCAAAGTACTAAAGAGCCAGGTGGGGGACACATTTAATATTGAATATAAACGAAGAACAATATATATTTATCAAATTAAAATTTTTCCCTCTTTCCGGAGAACATTAAAATGTATTTCGAATTAATTAAATTACATACATTCTTCCTTTTTTTCCCAATTAATTTAATGCAAAAAAAGGTTGGGCAGGCACTCTGTATAAAGAATTATGTCAATGTTTATATTAGTGAAGAGAACATTGAATAAACTTTCGAATGAGCTATGACACGATCGCTATTATCATTTAAAAAAATCATCGATTATGTCATCACGCCCAGATGGATGACGTCACTAGTATGATATATATGCCAATAAATTATAATTTAAAGACAAAAATCGACTTGTTTCGGGATTTATCTCCAGAGTCGCCCATTCTCGAGAAAATGGATTTATTCCAACTCAAACGTCCTCACTATATTAATGCTTTGGAACTTTCTTTTTGAGGTTAGTTTGGTATATTGGAATATAAAAATAACAAAAATGCATTTATTATAATATATTGCCTGTTTTGTAATAAAGTTTAATAGCATATTAATAAAATATTTTAAATGACCTAAATTAATACACTTTTTTTATATAATTTATATTTGGTTCTAAATCCTACTGCCAAAATTATGACCATTTTTGCCTGAATAAAACGTTACTCTGGTCATTAGGATTCTATTAAGGCTTTTTTGTGACGTTAAATGCTGCAAATTCATAAATATTTCATAAATATTTCTGTCTTAAAAAATTAGAATAACCTATAAATAATATTTTACTCTTTGCCTTAAAACAGTTAAAATCAATTAAATTACAAATTTAAGAAAATTCACTTTTCCGGAAAAGCCCAGTAATATCGACGTGAATATTTAATATTTATACATCTATTAAAACATAAATTCAATTTTCAACAATGAGGAATAACAATAGCATTTCTTGTACCTAAATAAACAGGTAGGTACGCCTAAGAAATGTTGATTTATCTCTCTTATAACCAAAACAAAGTATAGAAGGTGGTCTAGAAACAAAAAAATAATTATTATTCTATTTTCTAAAATGTATTCAATGTTTTGTATAAAATGTTTCGTTTTAGGAAAAAGACAATATTATAAATCCAATCAAAGTAACTCAAAAGAAAAAACGAATTTTGGAACCTTGGAACAATTTGCAAATAGAAAAAGCTCTAACGTATTTTAGGAATCATGTTCAACAGAAAATTGCTCCAAAAAAAATGAATGTTTGATGTTGAAAGAAGATAACACGGAACTTTATTCAAATAAAACATGGGAGAAAATAAAAATATTTATTGTAAATACCTACAACAAAAAATGAATTTCAATTCCTAATATAACTTTTTGTTCAATAAAGCATGTAAAGGAATTTTATTCTTAATAAAGATAACAAAAAAAATACATTTTTATTATTGTTTTAGAGTCGTTGTTATAAAAAAAATAATATTTTGTGTATCACTAGGACAAATGATATTCTTTCTTTCTTTCACTTACTATTCCTGTAAGGCCCTTTTCAGGGCGTAGGAGGGACCACCGGATTACACCTCCGGATTTACATCTCCGAAGGACGGAGATGAAAATTAAAACTGAAAAAAGGAACCAAAGATGGCGATTTTCAAGGCTCAAAAACATTAAGTATAAAACATAATTTGTGAAATTATGAAGTACCTAAATTCAAGTTCAAACCTTATTCTATCAGTTCTTGATAAGTCTTTTGGACTTACTTCATTTTGAAACATTGTTTTTTAGTTTGTTGTGTTTTTAGTTGTTAATGCCAGTGTCCCCATAAAAAACCTTCCTCATTAACAATTAAAAATATATATTTTAGAATAAAATATTGCTAAAATTCTTATCGAGACCTGGTAGAAAAAGTTTGAACTTGAATTTATGTACTTTATGATTACAAAAATGATATTTTTTACTTGTGTTTTTGAGTCTTGAAAATTGTCAACTTTAGAGAAAAATTACAAAATACCTTTTTTGTTTAGAATGATCTAAAAAATCTCATATACTATCTGCCCGGGTCGAGATTTTTTTAAACTCATAATGTCATTTTTTAATTATTAATCAATTAAAAAGTTAGAACAAGATTAGATCAGGCAACCCTTCATTTTTTTAATTGTTAACATGCTAAATTACATAATATTTATCCATTAAAGAGATCGGTGCAAATCGACCTCTACTCGGATCCTCTACACTCTACCTACTATTAAATTATAATAATAATAATCTCCCGTTTTATACCACTCACGTGGCTTTGGGAGTATAGCAGGGTAGTCTGCTATATCTAGGGCCTACGGTATACAAGGAAGGTAACAGGGCCAGTGCTACGCTTCAACCGCCTATTATTACCCCTGGTTTTAACCAAGGTACTCATTTTATTCAAGCTGAGTCGACCTGGGGCTTATAACATTTTTTACAATTTCTAGTTGTTCTTGCCGGCGCGCTGTAGGATTTTAACTCCGGCCTACTAGCACACGAGCGAAGCACAGTACTTAAATTAAATGAATATGTTTAATAAAAAATACGTATTTAGGTCGAATTTCTCATATCCAGTTCAACTCCAGTTTAAGCTGAACTGCCAGTGAACCACAGTTAAACGTCAAATTTTTGACGTTGAACTGTAGTTCACCAAGAGTTTAAGTTAAACTTGAGTTAAACTTGACATGAGAAATCGGCCCTTAGTATACCAATTTTTTTACAATAATTTACCAACAAGAATCAAATAATTTTTGTTAATACAAATAAATATAGATATTATATTTTACGTATACTGTTTCAAAATTTAGATCTAAAAATATTGACCTACATAATATTATATTTTTAAGGTACTAATAAATTGTGGTCTGTGATTTATATATTCTCGAAATATTAACCTCAACATCTTAAACGAATCAATCAAATTATATAAATTTACTAAATACTGAACCCACGCTCGACAACAATGGCAAATACGTCAGAGAAACAAAAAGTTTTCACTTAGCTATAACTACGAAATAGTAAGTGAAATCAAATTATCAGACAAATAACGCTGTTCAGTATTTTTCATATCATCAAATCTATAAATAGACATTTTACACTAATAATATACTAACTGCCAAGCTAGGACCAGCGTATATATATGACAAATTTCTGGTCCTCACTTGTTCCGCTGTATATTTTAACATGGGCCACAAAGCGAATTGTTAATAAATATACTCCAGAAAAGACGCCGACAGCGGCCGAATTGAGAACTACGATATACGTATTTTAACGTATAACAAACAAAACGAGACCCAATTTTTTTCTCGTAAAAAATAATTCTACAACGATTGTCAATGCCAAATAATGATTTTACACACCGGTACCAAGTGAGGACCATATATCGGTCCTCACTTTCAACCGCAATTTCGCCATGAAACTGGCTCACTTGGTACTATAGACATAAATATATATATATATATATATATATATATATATATATATATATATATATATATATATATATATATATATATATAAATATATATATATATATATATATATATATATATATATATATATATATATAATATATATATATATATAAGCAGAACCAAAAGTTTTTAATTAATAGTTGCAACAATGAACAGAGCGCAGTTAATTGTATTTGTATTTGGTGAGAAAGAATTGTTCAGTTCAATTTTTTAAATTTAGATTTTTTAGTGCTACAAGTGATGGCAAAATTGCAGAACTTCACCAATAATAAATCACTCGTTGACACATTATGTGAAGGTAAAAAGCCGATCACTTGAAAAAAAAACGAAGAAAATTAATTACAACCGAGCGGGCTGGTACATTCACGAACTCACAACTGTTTATTAAAACTAGCAATAAATATTCAGCCATAACGTTTGAATGACAAATGCTAAATGATCAAAGAGTCTATTGGCATTCCCCGTATCACGGCAGTTCCAGATGGTGTTTTATAAGTAGATAAATTTCCAGGCACATTTCCATAGTTGAAGAAAAAAACAATACTTATTGTAATGTATAAATGTTAGCTTAAGACACCTATAAATCTCACCACAACCTTTAAGCTTTTCCTTACTTTTCCTTTTTCAACCTCTCCCATTAACCTGACAAGACACAAGCTATGGGTTTTGGCTCCCGTCTGTTGTTACGGTTGAAAATAATGTCCAAACTCTAAAGTGTGAACATTGTTTTCAACTAACCAAACAGCTTTCCTTTTTTCATTTGTAAAAATGTCTTTCATATAAACAAAAAAAATCAAATCACAAAGCAAACATGAAAAAAGGTTAAAATAGCACAGATATAATAACAGAAAAATTATTAGTCTATAGATTGTATGAAAACTAAGATAATATTTAATAATTTTTGTAAATTTCCGATACAAAGGATAGTATGTGTAACAAAGAAGGAAAAAGGAAAACATTAAAAGATAAAAAAATTGTCATAAATCTTTATTCTTCTGTACACACCATATTAAAAAAACAAGTATTAAAAATATATAAACAAAAGTACCTTTTCAAATCCAGACCAGCACGCTGGCCTGTCTCACCCTAATTAGCACATGTTGTCCCCTGCAGGTTCCCAGGGAAATATGGCAGGATTTAAATGTGAAAAGCAAATGACAAGCTTTCCTGACTGGTTTGTCGACAGGTTCAAAAGCACCATCCGGAAAGGAAAAACGCCTTATTATTAGCCATATTGGTAGCGACTCAGGACTTGTTGAAGGAGGTTTAAATGCATTTGTTTCTAAAAAGACTACAGATTATCATGAGGAAATTGATGCAGATTAACGCAGACTAATGCAGACAAAAATCGAACCAGGATCTGTTATTGTTATGAATAATCCATATCATTGCTGGCACTAAATTCTGTGAAAAATTTTTGAAAATTGAGTTACTATACTTAGCACCGTGTCATTAAGATAAATATATTAAATATGTAGTAAAGGAAATGGAGCGAGAATGAGGCGTAATTGTAGTTCGATTGCCGCCATACCATTGAGAATTAAACCTGATAGAACATATGTGAGCTCAAGTGATAATGAAGTAGCAAGGAACAATGTTACTTTCAAATTAAATTATGTAAAAATCTGCTTAATAGTGTCTTCAGCCATGTGATCTTACAGTCGTGAATAAAATATATTGAGTATCTAGTGAAAGAAGAGCAGAATATGTAGAAACTTGATAACTTCATTGAAATTACCATGGAACTAGTAGTTGTGGATCTAGGCGAAGATACTACTGATGAAGCTAAAGATGACATAGATTAGATTATGTATAATGTTAGTTTCTATTTAAACATATCTTTTATTTTTTATGAAAATAAAGATTGAGTTAAGGTGACCCATTTAATACTAGTACTGTTTTGTACCAAGAATTGTTTAAATACTTATGTTTCAGTTTTACCTGTGCTAAAAGTAACTAGATGACCCGTTTTCTAATCTCATGTCATTAAATCTCATTTGACAATAGGAATTAAATTTAATCAATGAATCAGTCATAAGTTTATTAATTTAAACAGATAAAGAGGCTTTTCCTAAAAAATATATTTAAAAAGGATTAGTTTTCTTCGTCTAAGGCATATATAAAATAAGAAAATAATTTTTATGACAATCAATTCGTTCTAAAATCCTGGTAATTTTTTTAATAAAATCCTCACACCTTTAACTCATTGATTTTCTTTCCCCTCAAACCTGCAAAGGTCTACATTGAAAATATGAGCCACTTTCTACAATTTTGGTACGGTGCTGTACAAATCAACTATAATATAAATATTTGAGTTTAATGTGTACCTCAATATATTCAATATTGTGTGTAACGGTCATATATACAGAGATAAGATAATGACTGAAATTTCTATGAGTCTAAATTTATATTTCTAAATATTGTATTTGTTAAACAATGGTTAAAAAGTATAAACCAGTCTCTACAGAGTATCATAAAAGATAAAATGTATTCAATACTGCGGAATGTTTCTTTTAAACATTTCCATAAAATATAAGATAAGTAAATATATAAAGGTACTAGCTGACCCATCGAACTTCTTACTAATTTGGAATTAAATAAGTAATTTATTTAAAAAATTAACAGAAAATAAAACCAAAAAACACTCAATCATATAATGCATGAAAAAACTTTGATCAATTTGATGCTTTTTGATAAAAATATTTTCATTTTTTTTCAATACATAAATATATACAAAAATGACGGTTTTCTGCAAACTTTCAATGGTTGGCTTTGTGATTTGTTTATTATCATTACAAAAGCATGGGAAAATGTAAATGTTAAAAATCAATGAAAATACTATTTTTGTTGGGAATAAACCACAATTTAAGTTTCAAATAAATTTATTTTTGATGTTTCAATTTACACTTTGGAAATTGTCCTTAAAATACAAAACATAAATACATTAAATAAATTTTGTTTTTTGTTATTTGGTGAAAAATTCTTTTAATAACTTATTTTAATCTGGTCTTACATTAATTTAGTTTACTCTCAATCAAACTCTTGGTATATTATTAAATTAATTATAATAGTACATTTTTGCCATATACTAAAAAGAAGTGTGGTAGTACATTCTAAGTATATAAATAGAAGGTTTAAATACTCTAATACTGAGAATACCTTGGACAGACAGAGTGACCAACACATATGTATTAAGACGAATGGGTAAAGAGGTGGAATTGTTAACAACTGTTAAAAGGAGGAAAGCATCATACCTGGGCCATGTGTTCCGTAATGATAAGTACAGTCTGCTACAGCTTATGGTGGAAGGCAAGATTGAAGGTAGAAGGGGTTTGGGCAGAAAGAAGAAATCCTGGCTGGGAAACTTGAGAGAATGGTTAGAAGCTGCGACCATAATACAAGCGGCACAAAACAGAGAAATTTATCGTTTGATGGTCGCCAGCCTTCGGTAGAAGACGGCACAAGTAATGAGAAAGAAATACTCTAACCTATACTTAAGCATCAGCTCTACATATTCTTAATGGTAATTCTAAGAACTATGGTAAATCTCAATGATACTCTGAAGAACATGAAATTGTTATGTGGGCTTTGAGTGTGGTGTCTGTAAATTGAAATCATGCATTAGTTTAAAGAAAAGTTCAAAGTGGGATAACATAACTAAAGTTGCCTATGTTTGGCACAAATACTGTAAATCTTTGTCTTTTTCTGTGGTTCATATTTCTTTTGTTAAGAAAATATTATTTAACTATGCACTTAATTTGTAATTGTCTCCTACATGCCCTTAAACTGTATTTAAGATCAAAATGATATATTAGTTGGTAGAAAAGTTATTCCTATTTAGACTTCTGGGCAAAAGAACAGAGAAAGTGCTGATGAAGTTAACTACAAATGATCTGTCAAATTTGTGATTGGGGTATTGCCATGTCCTTATTATGTATATTATGTTTTTTATGCCTCAAATATGCTTTGAATTATTATATTAGTTTATGAAATCGGGTATTTTTTTAAATTTATATAAATTTATAATATATTATTTCTAACCTTTTTCAATTTTTTGGTTTTCTTCAAATGCGTTAATTCCATGTTGTTCTATTTCAGTATTTATGGACCGTTTGTTTAAGTTTAAACAGTCATATGTGTCATGCATACTTTGAATATTGGATTCCTCTTGAGTTTCACATTTAAAGTCATCCAAAAGAACATCATCCAATTCATTATACTCTACTTCTACTTTACATGTTTCCTCCTTTACACTTATTTCTTGTTTTACTTCCATTTGATTCCACTTGATTTTAAATATCCCAATAATTCTAAGGAAACACGAAATTTACCTACTGCCGAAAAGGCAAATCCATACAATAAGTGCTGAGAATGAGAATTTTACATAAACGTTATGTCAAATTTGTGTCTGCGGTATTGCCATGTCCATATTATGTGTATGTTTTATGCCTCAAATATGCTTTGAAACAGTACATTTTTATTATATTATTTTATGAAATCGGGTATTTTTTTAAATTTTTTGAATTTATATGAAATACGAACGAATGAATATTTGTTTTTTTTTTATATTGTTTGCAGTTAGTTATTAGAAAAAAAAAATTATAATTGGCCTTTGGTAGATTAGTAAATAAACTTGGCAATACTGTCAAAATTTTGAAAACAGTAGTTGCCAGATTACAAAAGATGTTTAGCAGATTTCAATTTTATGATTTTTATGACTATTTTCTTATAATTTTGGGGTGAAATGGTACCTGAATATCATTTTGTTAATGTATTAGCTAGTTACTGGAGCTTGTTCAGATCGATATTTTTTCAAATTTACGTTGCAGAGATTAAATTATCATTATTGACAATTCAATCCTTAAAATGTGAATAACAAAGTAAAAATATATCGGTAAAGATGTTTAATTAAATTTAATAAATTAAGAATTTAAAAGCTTAAAAAATTAAAGTTAATTTAAATTATAATAAATTAAATTTAAATTAATAAACTTCTTTCAAAAACTTAAAAAGAATGTTGAACATTAATTAATATTATATCGCATTATATCTTTCAAGGATTTATTTGTGATATGGCAACACTGCCAAATACAGATCTGTCACTAATCTTCTGTCAGTTCCTCGGCACTTGTTCTATAGGTCTGCCGACGAAAATAAAAGTAAAAACCGTTACACCAAAGATCATCTACTCCTTGGCATAGATAAATAATATCGCACTTTGAAATCAAAAGTGGCATTATACAAAATTCGGTGGTTTTTAGTTATAGCGACGTCTAAAATCTACGAGCAAAACTACGTCTTTTGCAAAGATTTCCGTTGTAATAGCTCGCTCGGTTTTCTGTAAACGTCGCTAATGTCACTTCTTACTTTGTTGTCGCGAGCATGGGTCGTGACCGATAAACCGACACTAAACCAGTAAAGGTCCAGCCGCTGCAACGAGTCTTAGCTGAGGTGAGTGAAAAAGTGACATATTTTGTATAATGTCGTTTTTTTAATTACTTGATAGTAAAAATACAACAAATTATGATTTCGTTATTGGCATATTTTGTAAAGTGCCGATATGTTACTCAACTATTTCAGATAACTGTGTTTATATAGAATAAATAAGGGGCATATTTTGCTTAGTGTCATTTTTGTGGTTTAAATGTCATATTTTTAATTTATTGCCATATTAAATAGACGTCATTTTAAGTAAAGTGTCATTATTTTATTTAAAAATGTATATTTAATTAGATAATTAGGATATTAAACACCGATATTTAAAGTATTATCCGACATTTAATATGCATATTAAAAGAATTTAATATTAGTTTGTTCGTACCTAAAAAGGACCAATGTGAACAATGTACAATATATAAGCTGGCTGAAGATCCCAGAAAGCAAGCTTTGAAGGAAGATTATGACCGCCATTTAGCAGAAAAACAAAAAAGTCGCGAAGAAAAAACTAGTGACAAAGAGAAAGTGACAGATTGTTTTATCGTTGCATGCTATGACTTACAACCGGTAATGACGGTTCCTAAAGGAGACGTATGAATATTCTATTATAAGTCCAAAATAAGTTGTTTGAATTTTACCATATCGGAGTTGAAAACAGACAATGTTGAATGTTACTTTTGGGATGAATCTCAAGGCAATCGTGGAGCCAATGAAATAGGTAGCTGTGTTTTAAAGTTTTTGCAAAAGAAGTCTTCTTTCGCTAATAAAGATCTTGATATAGTGTTCTATTCTGATAACTGCTGTGGCCAACAGAAGAACCAGTTTATCATTGGAATGTACGCCTATGCAGTATTAAATCTCAAAGTAAAATTAATAACCCATAAGTTCTTAATCCGAGGCCATACACAAAATGAAGGGGACGCAGTACATTCAACGATTGAGAAGGAAGTAAAAAAAGTCTTAAATCTGGACCCATTTACGTACCTTCCCAATACGTCTGTGCCATCAAAAGTTCGAGAAAACGTGGGACGCCGTACATTGTAAATGAGATGGGATACGAAGATTTTATGGATTTGAAACAACTGCCAGTTATTAAGCTGAATAGGAGTGTTGATGGTGCAGTTGTAAAATTGTTTGATATAAAAGTCATTAAAATTGAAAAGAACGTAATGAATGAGATTAAAATATTCTATAAAACGTCTTATTTTGATGATTTCAAGGAACTTGATTTGGCAAAAAGAACATCCAGAAACAGCCGACCTCAAGAACTTAAACCATTGTACCACCAAAAATTGGATATATCCGAAAGGAAGAAAAATGACGTGAGGAATCTTGTGGATGCGGGGTTGATTCCTGGATATTACCGATCCTACTATGAAAGTATTTGTAATTGAAAATGTAATAGGTCTTAAGTATTATCACATTTTTACAAACGCCTATTTGCATTTTTTGTTACGATTCGTTTATTTTTAGTTTATTTTGATAGTCTTAAAGTATTTTATTTTAATTAAAACATTGCGTGATATTGTCGTGACTGATTCGAGTAAGACTTTCTTTTGTAGTACATACAAATAAACATGGGCGCCGACTTGCCAAAAACTTTGGGGGGGCTTAATCTCCTCGGTGGGGGGGTGTATGAAAACATTTTTAGACTAGATCTTTATACATGCCAAAGATTAGTAAGCTAGAGAGCAAAATCTGGATCTTTTCCGTTATACGTATACTACCAATTATTTCTATTACGTACATCGCGCCGCGGCGATTAGGTTAGTTTCAGGTTATTATATCCTTATCCCTTAATCACTAAGATATGATAACTTGAACCTAACCTAACCGCCGCGGCGCGACGTAAAACGGGTGGTATACAATAACATTTGTTTAAATGTTGACTAAAAAAATTCATAAAAAAGCAAAAATCGACTTTTTGTTGAGCGTATAGCATTATTTGAAAGCTTGTGTTTTGATTGATTGTTTAAAAATTTTTAAGTGCAGATGGCACATTGTTATTGTTAAAGTTTTTCTTTCATAATAACAACGGTTATTATTACCAGTAAACCAATTAACTTTACGTTTACTTTTAATAAATATGTCCATCGTCTGTAAATTTTTTTATTGTTGAAAAATATTCTTACTTTACTTATCCTTTTAAACGAATAATTTTCTTTGAATTCAAAGTTAGATTCTATATAAGGCTACATTTTATTGTTAGTTTGTATTCCTTTTTGGCAAATATCAAGTATGAAAGAAAAAATAGGTAACAAAACTAACATAAAAGGGTTCAAAAGCTATTTATTTTAGATAAAGGTAACATAAGTTGCAATTTACATCAAATTATTGTAACTTGTATTGAAATCATATAATTAGTATTAAATGAAATTATTGTAGCCTGAATAACAAAATAAACTAACTAACAACTGCTTATTTTTTAGTTTGGTAAACTGCCAATGTACGGTCATATAAGGAAAAATAAACATTTCCAAAACTGTCTAAAAACATACGTACTTTAAGAAGGTGAAGTTTTATTTGTCGGAAAAGTCGAATTTCCCGTAGAAAATGAAACTAAAAACTAGGCATACAAATGATTTAGATGTTCTTGATTTTTTAAACATAAATTATTATAGAATAACGGAGTCCAAATACTTTTTTAGGGCGCGATGTATATATGGGGTGGTATACAAATAATGGAAAAGATCATTTTTGTATTCTTGAGATTTTTTGTTCTAAAAGTAGGTACATAAAGTTCTTAGATAGTTTTGGACATTTTCATCTTTTTCCGCATTTGAACGTACATCGGCAGTTTTACCAAACTAAAATATAAGCAGTTGCAAAAAAAAAACTGTCATTAAAAATCATAAAATAACATGTAAATTGAAATTAGGATAACATCGAAGTTGAGGGTTTACCGGAAATGGCGGAAAATTGCAGTCTATCCTTAGAAGAGTGCAAAACAGGATCTTCTAACATGATTTCTTTTAATGAACTCGTTGATGACTGGACGAATGTCTATTTCATCCAAAATATCTTGATGGGCATGAGTAATTGCTAAGTTGTTGAGTCTCTTCTGTCCCATGGTAGCTCTAAGGTACGTTTTGAGACGCCGTAGGGCACTAAACGAACGTTCGTTAGTTGCTGACGTCACCGGCACAACTTGAAGCAGCTTCAAGCATTTCACAAGTTCCGGTAACATTTCCTTTACACTAGGTTCTAGTACAAAGAACTTTTTAACGTCGTTTAATGTATCAAGTTGCACATTCTTTTGTTTCGAAATGTCACCCAGCATTGACAAATGTAAGAGTAACCTGTCAGTGTCCAGATCATTTTGAAAAAGCTCTTTAGAACGTGTCATATCACTTTGTTGTCCTTTCTTTAGAACCGAAAGACACTCCCTCTCCACTGCAATCACTTTCAACAGTCCTGTTGAGTCGAATCTACTGGTAACACAAGACTTGACAGTTTCACAAATTTCGATGTATACGACTTTAAAATATTCAGCTGGTGTGTTGAATGTGTGGGGTGGTCCAGCCTCCTTGTTTTCGTAGCGTTGAGGAACGCGGCATTTCCGTGCAAGTTCCGGTTCACCTACTGATGGTGGCTTTACTTGTAAACAAAACTTCCAGAAGTCTTCAAATCCTCCACGCTTTTCTTCCAAAATACAGGCTAGGTTAATGAACATATCTTCTAAATCAGTTACGCTCAAATCAGGTGATTGAACTTTACGATTTACCTCTTCCACTGGGTTCATTACATAGCAATAAAGCTGTAAAAACAAGTAAGTCTTGAATTTCAGCATAGATTCCAAAAAACCTGCACATTTATAACCTGCGTCGTTCTTATTCGAGGAAGAGATGGTTTCAAACAACTCCAGAATACTTTCATAATTTTTCAAGATTTGTTGCACACTTGATGCTCTCATTGTCCATCGTGTTGGGCAAAGCGGTCGAAG